GAATGCTGGTGCCCAGGGTCCTGGAATGCTAGCCATCTGGCAGTGCTCAGGGCAGCCCCACAGAACTGGACGGAGCCTCACCAAGAGCACAGGCTGGCTGTTGGCTGCCTCTCCCTCCCTGCTTCCTGGCAGCAATGAAACCACCTTGGGAATTCACTGAAAGAAAAGACACCAATTCCTTCCCAATTACTTAGGTAGTAAGAGTAGGAGAAGCGAGAAATACATGCCGTAAGGCAAAGACTCTTTTTGGCTCTTGGTGGGATACCTGGCACCATGTGCAGCAGGTGTCAGTCTCCATGTCTGTGAGTCTTACCCTTCGGGGCTGCTGAGGCTTGGCTGAAGGTTTCAGCACTGCAAGGCCTGCTGAAGCTTGCTGTGCCTTCTGAGGTCTGCCCCAGAGCAGGCTAGGCCCTGAAGAGCTGGAGAATCACTTGAGGAGACTGAATGGAAGCCGCAATTGCTTAGAGAATGGTCACAGTCCCTCCTGGGCACGCCAGATCCATCTGTAAGGTTTGTCCCCTGCTGAGTCTTGGGGGACATGAAGCTGCGTGTTGGCAGGCTTCGCTGAGAGTGCATGACTAAGGCGCAGGAACCATGCCATCGGAGGCTTGGTGAGCGGTCAGTCCCAGAGCCCAGAGCGGCCTGCAGTCATGTGCTTGGCTTGCACATCCTCCCTCACTTCATTCCCATTACACATCTGGAATTTATGCACACATTTGCGACATAAGTAACTAGGTAAAACCCCACATGCTGACATCATGAAAACAAATCAAATTTTAGCCCAAACTATTACTCAAATGCTGATAGAAAATGCTTTAGAATTTTCAGTTTTCCAATGCTTTACAAAAATGAGCCAGTAAGTACAAAAGACTTCAATCTTCCTCTTGAAGTGCTTTAGCCATAGTTCCCTAGGCCGTAGAGACCTTAGTTAGAACTAGACACTGCAAATCTGTTTTTGAGGAAAAATGGGAAAGGGGATAAAATATGACTGAAAACTTCAGAAGAATGAAAAGGATAAGGTTTTAGGACTTTGTGTTCACTCATTCTCATGTTCCCCAGGATTTTTTCTTTTGCTGATCTTTGATATGTGTCAAGGGGATGGGAGCTACTTTTACATCATATTTCCCTGTTCCTTCATGCAATGATTCTGAGCCCTCAGGATTAAGACAATATTCTCTCTCCCACTCCTTGCCATTTCACTCTCCTTTGGCTTCACTGACTAGCATTTCTCTGGCTTCTTTAGACCAGACAGGCCAAGATCCCTAACAACTAACCTGACTCATGTTCACAATGTGGCAGCATGCTCCAGGGTCTGCCAACAAGCTGGTTTCTGGTTTGAGTCCTTGACTTCTAGACTCTTGCTCAATTTCTGACAAAGAACAGGATAGACTGTATCTGTGAGGTGGCAGGATGGGCGAGAAGTAGATTACTCTTCTGATAGTAGTTTTATTTTTGTCACTCCACCTTCACCTCTGCTGGCCCAGAAAACACTCACCAATGACCACTTTTCTAAAGGATAGGAGCTGCCTTCACCCTATGGAAGAACCTCAGCCTAGTGAGTCTGATTACTGCGTTCAACTCCATAGGCATGTGTGAATTGAGCAGGCGAAATGTGCCAAGTGGTAGCAGGCTATGCTGGGCACTGGGAGGACAGTGCCCCTAGGCAGGACCTACTGCCAGGAAAAGTACCCTCTAAATAGAAATGGTCCAGACCTTCACTATGGGAATCTCAAGGCCCACCTCGTACCCTTCACCCTAACTCAGCAGGAAAAGAGCCTTGTTTCAGCACTGCTCTGCACCACATTAGACACATGTATAACAGACTGCTGTGCATCTCACTTGTTTACATGAATGTCTTGGTTTCCTCCCAGTCAGTTCCTTGAAGTTTGGAGCTAAATCTCATGCAGCCTTGCACACAAAACAGCACCTAGCCTAGTGCTTTGCACACAGGAGGTGCTCAATTATTTTGTTCTTAAAATTATGGCTTCTCTAGATTTCTTAGGTTTAATAGTTATAAAAAGTATATGTAGCAAGATGTCCAAAAACTTGAAAATTAAACAAAACACTTCAAAATAATCCATTAGTTAGGCAAGATGACTCAGGGAAAATTATGAGATGCCGCTAAAACAATATTTAGAGGGACACTTATAGGATTAAGTGTTTATATTAGAAAGGAAGAAAGATGTCAGATGAATCATCTAACTTTAAGAAATGAGAACAAGAAGGGCAAAATCAATGCAAAACAAGCAGGAAAAAGGAAATAACAAAGTAAGAGCAGATGTCAATGAAACTGAAAACAGAAGAATCATAGAGAAAATCATTGAAGTCAAAAAATAATTCTTCAAAAAGATCAATAAAATTGATAAGCATCTAATAAAAAAATGAGAGAAGACACAAATCACCAATATCAGGTAAGAAAGAAGGCTATAACCACAGGCGCTATAGACATTAATGGGATAATAAAGGAATTACTACACACCACTCCACACAGATTTAGATGAAATGGACCAATTTCTTGAAAACCACAAATTACCAATTCAGTCATGATGAAACAAATAATCTGAATACTCCTTTCATGATTCAAGACATTGAATTCATAATTTAAAACCGTTTAAGAAAGAGATTTCCAGGCTCACATAGTCTCGCTGGTGAATTCTAGCAAATGCTTCAAGAAGAAATGAGTAAATAGAAGAGGAGCACACTTCCTAGCTTATTTTATGAGGTCGGCATTATCCTAATGCCAAATCAGACAGTGAGAGTAGAAGAAAATTTCCGATCAATATCCCTCATGAACATAGATGCAAAATCCTCAACAAAATGTTAGCAAATTGAATCCAGCAATATATTAATAATATACCATGACTAATGTCCTTCAGGGAGTGAATGAGGAAGTGATACAGTTCTGCATTCTCACTATGGTGATGGTCATTACACAACTATCCATGTATGAGTCACAGAGTTCTCCACACACACAAGGACACAGACATACACACCAATTTTATTGTATTTCAATTTCCAAAATAAAGTTTCAAAACCGTTTTTTGTGATAGCTATGTGACAAAATTTGTACTATGCTTTCAGCACAAAGTGCTTTCCAATGCACATCACATAATTCTCTCAACAACAATCACCTATGATAATATATTTCTGATCTCCTTTTTACAGCTGGGGAAACTGAATCTTAGAGGTAGAATGTCTTCATATGAGTTAATGAGCAGAGCCAGGTCCCGACCCTCAGAGGATGGTCTCTTGTCAGTAGAGGTTCCCACAAACTCTCCTGGCTCTGTGCTTATACCCCCAGATAGTGGTAGCAGTGAAATCCTATGACCCCTGGATGGAAAGTAAATGCAGGAGCAATTCTTCTCAAAGGCAGCAGCTGCTGGGACCCTACTGGAGAAGGATTTCAGCACTCCTGGGACTCAGTGCAGGGGCTGTGGCACAGCACCAGCAGGGGCAGGTAATCCCCATAAAGCTGAGTCTAGTTCATCCACAACAGAGGAGGCTTCTGCCACCCTTTAAATACAGATGGTGTCTTTTTATTTTGTGATTATCTTTTCTTCTGTTACGGGTAAGGTATTCTACCATGTTCCAAGTAAGGGCAGAGGAGGTAGACTGGGCTGGGCATCAAGAATAAGGATTGATAGAGTATTCCAGTCTATTTTCTCCAATTCCCTGCAACTTTAACAAACTCAGAGAACCCTCTATTCCCCATTCCCACCCTCCCCAGAAAATTACACCTGTGCTAAGAGGAGAGAGCAGAAACTTCAGAAGCTCCTCACCGGGGTCCTGGTTAGTTGCAGCAGTCAGGAGTGGGTGATGTGCCTGGAGCATGCTAATGAGAAAGAAATGTGCCAAGGAAAGATTGCTATGTAGTATGCATCACTCACCTTTTTCAATTCAATTAATATTTATCAAAGTGGAGGGGTATGTGTCCAAGCAGTTGTTTATCTCCCCTCTTTATCAGAAAGGTGACCTTGGTGGCCAAAAGCCATTTTTGGGGGACTTAATTTTAAAATGGAGTAACAGCTCACAATGTAGCAGGAATTTTTGCCAAGACTCTGGAACCTATCAGGAAACTCTGGACAAGCAAGGGGCAGTGTATTTCTCAGTGGTCACTGGTGTAATCCTTATCTTACTGAAATCACATCATTTTGGACTAATATTATGCTTCAAGAGGCTTAATTCTGACTGCAACGTCCTGAGGCTGAGTCATTCCCTACCAGGCAACCGCACTGAAATAAGTCTGGCATGGAGGCTGCAAGGATGAATGACTTTTGGCAGACACAGAATATTTAAAACAGTCTGCAACTCTGGTGGAAGGAAGTGGTGGGCTAGAGAAAGGTCAGCAGGGCCTTTGCAATCTGTTTGGTGAGTAGATAATGGGCAAGCCACATTTCAGATAGTGGCACTAGCAAATCACGGCAAAGGGCAAGAAGAGACTTTATTTTTTATGGGGTCATCTGGGCATGCTTTTTAGGGAAGGCAATTGTGTGCTTGAAGCAATAAACCCTAATAGTTGGAAGAGGTACAACCCTAGGAAGACATATTTTAGGGAAGAATAAGAAAGAAGCCAGTTGCTTCTTAGGCAGCCTAAGGTTATCCTGGCGTCCCAGGATTCTTTTTGTTCTTTTTTTCCTTAAGGATCCAGAATGGTAGACTTAGACATATTAAAATATCTCTGTCTCTAAAAGGTTTCTTCTTTCGGGGGTAGATAGCCTGCCTTAGTTTCCCAAACAGAGCCAGCAAAGGACCAGGATAATCCTGAATCAATTTTGGATTGAGGCAGGTTTTATGATCCCCATTCTACATACAAGGAAAGTAAGGCTCAGAGAGATTAAGGATCTTGCTCAGAACCTCTCAGCAATTGCGTGGTGGAGCAGGCACTAAATCCCAGGTCTGTAACCGTGCTCATCCCCTGCCCGACATCACGTCTCCTATCTGGAGTGAGGTTTTTATGCTGACAGCCATTTCTATGGATTGAGAAGTCGAAAACTACAAGATGAGAATTTCCTTATATTTTAATTGTGAATTTAACAGGTAAAGACATTAATAGGTGCTCCTTTGCTGTCCAGGAGTACTTGCTTAAATGTTTTCTGAATCCAAGACTTCTTTCCACACTTCCTTTCACAAACACACACTGGGGGACTGCTACACGGAGATGATGAGGTTGGGCATGGTGGAAGTTACAAAGGTAAAGGAGACTCAGATTCTTCCCTCAGAGGACTTACAAGGGAGTATTTGATCATAAATAGGCAGGTTATAAGCCACTGTAGTGAAGGCCGATGGATCTATGCTCCTCTGTTATACTTATTGGAATCTATAATTTTCTTCTGTATTTGTTCCTATTCTGCTATCCATCAAGAGTATGCTCCCTGCAAGCAGAAACTCATCCGTCTTACTCACCTCACCATTGAATGCTCAGTGCTTGGAATAGCACCTGGCACACAGCTGGTGCACAATAAATATTTGTTCAATGAATAAATGAAAAATTGATCCATAATGGAGACTCCTGGAAAATTTCAAGGAAAAGGTAACATTTGCAATGGGCCTTGATGAAGAGATAGATTTTACAGGCAGGTATGGAAGCTGCACATTCCAGATGAAATGTGAAGATGTGGGGAGAGGTGAGAACATCTGGGCTGTGTGGAAGGGGCGCTGAGCTCTGCTGAAGCCTGATACCATTCAAGGGTCTGTAGCAGGGAGTGACTGGCCAGAGCTGAGGGTTAGTGCAGTGCAGCTGGTAGCGAACCCTCACGGGTCAGGTAGGGAGGGAAAGGAGGAAGGCCATTGAGGGTGTTCAGGGTAGGAGCAAGGGCCCATGTGGAGGTGACGAGGCCCTGAACTGGGTAGAAGTTATGGGACTATAAATAAAACGGGCACTTCACAACGAGAAGGTTCATGTCTCAGGAGCCAAATGAACATGGAGGATGAATTACAGCAGACTTCAAAAATGCTATTGAGCTGCCCAGCTCGGTGCCAGGAAGAGAAACAGAGCAGCCAGAGGAATCAGGCTGAGAAGAGGGAAGAGGGGAGGGATGATGTGTTTGGCTAGGGATCTTAAATCGGAGTGCCCAGTGGGAAGCCTAGGAAATTGTCCAGCCATCAAAATGTCAGAGTTTCGGGTGCAGCCTGATAAGCTCCTCTAATCGCTGAGTCAAAAATAGTCATTGGAACAGGGATAGCTTTTCATAGTCACCTCCAAGATTACAGGTTGCCGAGCATCTGCCTCAGAAGGCAACTTGGAAGTTCTCTGCCTCTGGGCAGAAGGGGTATCTGCGGCTTAGAGGTTGGCTGACTTGTCCCAGATCACATGGCCAGTTTGCCCTCCATAATTCTTAAAGGAGGACAATTACCTTTTACATGGTTATATTAAAATTGAAAACTTGTATGTCTCTATGTGCAAAGCTGATTAGGGTACTATAGCACACAACACCCCACAGGGCCCCAGCTAGAAATGATCAGTTAGTTCTGAGTCCTGAACTCATCCTCTCAGTGATGAAAGTTGAGAAAGTGCTTCCGAACTCCTGGCAGATGGAACACAGGAAGAAAACCAAGTCTGTACTGCACCCAAATTCCTTTCTTCTTCACCTAAAGGATACTGTTCCAATCACAAACGCCAGGACTTTTAATAAAGGCAAACAAAATCCCAACCACCTTGTAAAGGTCATCTGGCCTGTGGAGAGAGTGAATGATTAACTGCTGAGAAAGTGACTTTTGAGTATTTTGTAGTGTTCAAAGGCGCAACTAGAAAATTTTAGCCCAGGGCAAATTCTACAAGGAGCTCTCTCTCCCAGTGTTATCCCACCTGCTCTACTAGTCCTTCTCCTTTCCTTCAAGGACCTTCACCTATATCCAGGTGAGGAGTGTCCTACCTATGTCAAGGCCGGAGGGCGTGGCTCCCCCACTGCCAGCCCCTCTCCCTTGGTCCTGTGGCTCATTTGGCTGCGGAACCAGCAGAGATGGCTGAGGCTTCCACTTTGAACCCAGGCCTTGGTCTATTCAGTTTCGGCGTCTCTCTCCTGTCACCTGTCACCTGCACTGTGAGAAATTCATTAGGACAAATGTACAAAACATGGCTCTCCTCATATCCAGCACAGTGGCCTTGGGGTAGTTCCATTCTCTTTCTGAGCCTCGGCAGAATGGGTTTATGCCCACCTACCTCAAAGGGCTGTTGAGGGCATTAAACGAGATAAAGCATAAAGCACCCCCACAATGTGCCAGCACATACCCTGGAGGATCCCCTCACCCCTTCCCAACCCTCCCACCGCAACCCCCTGGGGCTTCTCCTTCTCCCTCTGGCGTCTTCTAGGGAAAAGGAGTCCCATGTGGAGCTTCCCGTCCTCTTCCGAATACCCTCGTCTTTCAGGGGAGGTGGCTGGGAGCCCTGAGGTGGCACACGTGTCGCAGGAACCCGTGTCTGTGCTGGAGGGTCCTTCACTCCCCTCGTGCGATAAGTACTCTCTCAAAAGAGGGGCCCCATGGAGCGCGCGGTCAGCCTTGCGGATCACAACAGTTTGCGGGCACCGAAGAGCCGCGGGGTCACGCAAGGGTGCAGGG